CAAATTAAAGGTTAGATTTAGGAACCCAAACTAGTTTGGGTCCCTTATTATGATAGAAAGGATGAATAAGGGCTTTCCTAGTCCATGCAGGCAACATCTGCTTCTTGCGAGTGGTACTTGGTCCTTTGTTAGTAGTCACTTTATCAGTAAACACTTTGCTTTTCTGAACAGACTGAACCCTAGCCTGGTAATTTTCTTTAAAATGCATATTGTTCCCACAGTAGGTACATAGCCAGTTATCAGGGATAGTGACATACTTGCTGTGAGGGTTGTAAGGAGTTTTCTCCCTTTGGAACCCGATGTCCTGCCTGTTTCCACTATTGTTAAGATACATGGCAGTGACAACATTTGAGGACCAGGTCCACTTCAGAGATTTCTCAAGATCAATTCTTACTTTCTCCAATTCAGCTTGAAGTTGCTGATTCTTCTCGAGTTCACTACATACACTGGTTTTTACAATAGTTAATTCCTTTTCAAGCATGATGTGTGTCTCACTAGCTACTTCCTTCCCTTTACCAAGACTCATATTCCTATGTTCTCTAGAGTCCCTCAATGATTTCCTCTAGATCAGTACATATCACTAAAAGGTCATCCCTCTCTTCCTCAGTAGTTGCAATTTTTCCTTCTAAGGTGTGTTTCTCATTGCTAAGACCTTCTATTGTTTCTTGTAGATCAATAACTACTACCATCAGGTCGTCTCTCTCATTTTCCACACTAGTTATTCTTTCATTCAAGGCTTCCTTTCCTTTTCAAGATTAGCTATGGTCTCATTTAGGTCCACTACACAAACCACCAGATCATCTCTAGATTGTTCGTCCTCTCCTAGAAGAGTAGGATTTCAGATTTCTCTGAACATCTCTAAAGTTTACCTCATCGTCTTCATCTTCTTCATCATCATCAGACTGAGCCATCCGTGCGAATAGTGAATCATACTTCATTGCTTCAGTTTCCACTGCCATCATGGAACTATTTTCTGCATTTGGTTCCCTTTCGGATTCACTAGAGGAGTCTCCCCAAGCAGCAAGAGCCTGCTTAACAATATTGTTAGTAGCACTTTTTCGATTGAATCGTTTGTCTGGAACCAGGTTCCTTTTTGCTGCTTTGTCAGGATTTTGTTTATATTGCTCCTATTTTGCGAGTGGGCAGTCTTTGATGAAATGCCATGGATTTCCACATTTGTGACAGAGATTGTTGTTCCTTGCTTTACTTGAACTGCCCCACTTTGGTATACCACCATTTCTTCGAACCATCTTTTGAAATCTCTTAGTAAGATAGGCCATGTCACTATCTTCATCACTTGAGTCACTGCTTTCAACTTTGAGTCCCAGGTTCTTTTCCTTCTTAGGCTCTCTTCTTTCACGATCTTTCTTTCTTTTCATCTCGTATGTCTTCAAATTACCGATAAACTCATCCATAATTAGAGTTTGTAGATCTTTAGCTTCAGTAATGGCATTTACCTTACTTTCCCAAGAACCAGGTTTCACTGAGTATTTTCCTTACAAGCTTGTTTTTGGGAATGACATCTCCAAGTGAATGAAGCTCATTTATGATGGAGGTGAATCTGGTGTACATATCTTGTATAGACTCATCATCCTTCATCCTAAAGAGCTCATATTCCGTGGTGAACATGTCGATCTTGGACTGTTTGACCTAAGTAGTTCCTTCGTGTGTGGTTTGCAATGCTTCCCATATTTCTCTGGCAGTGTCATAAGCTGTGACTCTATTGNTGTCACTATCTTCATTACTTGAGTCACTACTTTCAGCTTTGAGTAACAGGTTCTTTTCCTTCTTAGGCTCTCTTCTTTCACTATCTTTCTTTCTTTTTATCTCGTATGTCTTCAGATTACCAATCAACTCATCCATAGTCAGAGTTTGTAGATCTTTAGCTTCAGTAATGGCATTTACCTTACTTTCCCAAGAACCAGATAGAATACTGAGGATTTTCCTTACAAGCTTGTTTCTAGGAATGACATTTCCAAGTGAATGAAGCTCATTTATGATGGAGGTGAATCTGGTGTGCATATCTTATATAGACTCATCATCCTTCATCCTAAAGAGCTTATATTCCGTGGTGAGCATGTCAATCTTAGACTGTTTGACCTGAGTAGTTCCTTCGTGTGTGCGATTTGCAATGCTTCCCATATTTCTTTGGCAGTGTCACAAGCTGAGACTCTATTGTACTTATCAGGTCCTATGCCACACATCAAGATTTTCTGGGCACGATAGTTCTTTTCTATAGCTTTTCTGTCAATGTCGCTGTACTCTTTTCTGCCTTTCGGTACTATTGGTCCTGTTTCTTCAAGCTTCTTCATGGGGACATGTGGACCATCACAAATGATGTCCCATAGTTCTGAATCTTCTACCATCATAAAATCATGCATGCAGGTCTTCCACCAACCATAGTACTGACCATTGAATCTAGGAGGTCTGTAGGTTGATTGTCCTTCCTCAAAGTTGGGTGGAGCAGCCATTGAGATCCTTTCTAGGTGTTAACCTTTTAGAAAGAACCCACTCTAATACCAATTGTTAGTTTATATGAGTTCACCAAACTGTAGCGTACCTGGTCCTATATGAGATAATGCTGAGAGTGCTATAGAAACTGAAAGTAAAGAAGACAAGGGATTTTTACGTGGAAAAATCCCACACAAGGGGATCAAAAAACCACGACTTACTCTTGTAGGCTTTTAACTTCACTAACTTGCAATCTCCTTATTATAAGCCACTTTGCAATAACCCTATTACAAAGACTTCAACTAACTTGTGATGCTCTCACCATAAGCCACTTTATAACTCTCCTAGTTACAAAGGCTTTAAACTTATGACTATTCCTAGTTACAACATAAACTCGGAAGTTTACGGATTTTTGGTTTTTTCCTAAGACAAAGCTTCTAAGAAAGCAAACTAGGAAATACAATGAAGAGCAAATAACAAGATTACAACTCAACTACGGATGTACATAAACTCTTTTAGAAATTGATCCTTAGTGGAGTTGTCTTCTTGTTCTTGACACACCAGTGACTTCAATGCTGGATAAACACTGTTATGCTTGAGAGAGTATCACTAAATGCACAAAAATGTTGTGCCTTGCACCAGGTTGTTATATCACAAAAGACATCACAATAGATAGTGATATCAATTCTTGGTACACACTTCTTCCCAATGAGAAGTGACTGATGTACTGTCTGCACAACCACTTCTGTGCAGTTGCGTTCTAGCTGGATAGTCTACTTGTACTTCTATCAGAGAACACTAATGGACCAGGTCCTAGTTGTGTTCCTCTTCTGTAACAGTTGCGAGATGGTCACTTTCTGCTGCTACATTCCAGTTGTATAGTTGACTTGTACTTCTGTCAGAGAACTCTAAGGGACCAGGTCCCTGTTGTGTTCCTCTTTATAATGATTGCAGACAGTCATTGACTTGTACTTGTGTCGGAGAACCCAAATGGACTAGGTCACCAGGTCCCTATCGTGTTCCTCTCTGTGGTCGTTCATTCATTTGCTGATTTTCAGACTTGGACCAGGTCAGTTGAAATGTATACCATGTGGGCTAGATTCTCTATCTGGTTCTTCATAACAAGTTAGTTAGATCATCAAAACATAAGAAGCATAAGACCAAGACATTGAAAACCCATCAAGCTTGTTCCCTCCATCTGAGCCCAAACTCCCTAAAACTTTCCTCGGGTTTCTTTTCCATCTTAGATAGGGAGGAGCGATCTGGGATAATGTCTAAATTGTACTGAAAGTGTCGAACAAAATCTTGAGCCATGTCATCCCATGCATGCCACTTCTTGACATCTTGATGAGTATACCATTCCAAGGCTGCCCTACTCAAACTCTCACTGAAATACGCCATCAACGAATCATCTTTCCCGCCAACACTTCTCATTTTACTACAATAACCCCTCAGATGGGCTATTGGATCTCCATGCCCATCATACAAGTTAAACTTTGGAATTTTAAGCCCGCGGACAGATGAACATCAGGGATCATACACAAGTCATTGTAAGACATGTTAATCTGATTTCCCATCCCTTGCATGCTCCTTAAGGACTGTTCTATACCTTTCAGCTTCCTGGATATCTCATCTCGCCCTTATTTTCCTGTGAATTTTTCATTTTCAACATGAGGCTCATTACAAGGGCTATGATTGTATGAGTCAAGGACCTTGTGGGCAACCTCTGAGGGGTAATATTAGGCATCATGAGTTTCGACTGGGTGTTCATTGTTGGATCTATGAAGGGAAGATTGTTGAGAAGTTGTGATCGTGGGGATAGTGGATATGACAGGAGGGCAATTTTTAGGAAAGGTAGTTGGAGGACGAGTGATGAAGCTACTAGGGTGGTTGAGAAAGTTGTGATAAGCGGGAGAATCTGGAGATATGGGGGATCATCTAGCACTATGACCGGAGTTGGGTAAGGGTAGTATCTAGGAAGCTAGGTGGTAGCGGGGGTGGTGCCTTCCCAGTCATCCAAGCCTGATACATGTCCGTCATGTATTGTCTTAATATCATTACCTCTTCAGCCAACCTATTGTCCTGTTCAACCAATTTTTTTTGGGCACCAGTATCAACCAACTCAATTCTGCTGTCATCTGTCATTGACGTTCGACTTTATGTTATAGAGAAGAGTTATCACTTTAAGAACTACAAACCAACCACCCTTATGCTGTAATGAAGATAACACAGAGGAACAAAATGAAGTCATCATGTTAGCATTAAGGAATTTAACATAAGATAATCTCACTTTATGTGCAATGCACCTAGTCATAGTTATCGGTTCTAAAATGACTTCGAGGATACGAAGGTCAGATGGCATCATCCCAATTTCACTCTTCTTGCCCTATTTTGCTTCTTCATTTTCCTTTCTAGCACCGCTTGGTTTTTTATTTCCTTTCTCCTCTTTTCTTTTGCTTATCGCTCTTTTCTTTTCTTTCATTTCTCACGTCCCACAACTTCATTCTCTTTTTTTTTTCTCTTTTTTGTTTGTTTTTTATGCTTTTTTATTTAATGATGATTCGATCGAACTCTATGTAGGTTGCCTACGTATCATGTCCCTTATGAATCAGATCAAGTGTAGTTCTGGAAATGTAATAAACTAAAAACAAAATCTTTTGGCTTTTCATTTATAATTTTTTTCAGTTTTCAAATATAACACTGCTGGATGCAACGGTCCTGACAAAGAGGGTCCTTGGGCGTCTGTCATGCTCAAGCTTTGGTAAGTAGATCCACACCTGTATGAGAAAAATAAGACCAAATAGAGTTAAAGACTTAGAACAATATGTGATGCAATAAGACTTCCTATTGGACACATGTAAGATATGATTGAGGTTATTTTGCAAAATGGCTTATGCGGCCAAAAGGTGGCTAGTAGTGCAATCTCAACAAAAGTGACCTCTAAGACATGGAAAAATTACTTTGCAGAAATGATCCATTTTACCTATGTGGACAAAAAAATGGCTAAGCATGCAAGTTCAACAGAATGGATCTTAAACAGAGAGGACATAACTGGGCCCTGCTTGCTTTATTAAACAAGCCATTTTGTGAAAATAGCCCTATTTTGCAAAAAAGCCAATGTGGCCAAAAGTGGCTAAAGATGCAAGATTTGGCTACGACCCTCGACAAGAACCTAAGACTCACCAAGAAGACCGGACTCTATGTGGGCTACCTACGTATCACGCCCCGAAAGATGAGAATCAGGTATGCGTAATTCATGAAGATTGGATACGGGCGAGAATAAAAAAATAACTGATTTGGAGAAAACATATTTTTTGTCTTTTTTTGAAAAATGATGAAACATGTAAATTTTTTGGATTTTCTTTTCCCCTTTTTTAGATTTTTTTCCCGAAAATGATGGGAAAGTGCAAAATCTTTTTTGGGAATTTTCATTTATTTTTATTATTTTTTTTGCCTTTTTCTTAAAAAAAATGTGAAAGAAAAACATAACTGGGCCCTGCTTGCTTTATTTTCACACTTCACCCTCGTTTCTCTCTCATTTACCCTCAACCATCATTGTTCTGCCAAATGACCCTTTTTACCCTTGAAGAATGGAACATGTAGCACATAAGATGCATCAGGATGGTCTTTTATTTTTGGGTACACCTGTTCTAGATGGACCCAACCCCTGTGTTGAGTCCCCAAAGTCAAATGCACATGATGCAAACAACGTTCCTACTAGGGATTTGGTATGAGGTTATGTCATTCTAGTTTGAAACCTAGGGGTGTGTTCTAGACATGACTTACCCAAGCGGACAACTTGAGCCGAGGTGGGGGCAATATACCGGGAGCACGAAAGTCTACCCGGCCTTGTTGCTGACCCAAATATCGTTCTATATGGTATGACTTCTAACAAAAAAGTGGGCCTCGCGTACGTGTGCACCATATTTTTAGAAGACTTAGAAGGGAAGCATAAGAAGACAGTTTAATACAATTCAAATAATATCAAAGCAGTAAAATAAGCGGCAATTAGCACATTAGGTCCACAAATACAGTAATATCAACAGACAATAAATCCAAGCATAGATCATATTAACAAGCTCGAATTCTGAACCCTGAACCAGAAGTTCTGGGTTCTTTTTCTCAGCAGAGTCGTCAGAGCTATCACACCTCCTTTTTCCCGAGGAGGGGGATATAAGGGAGTTTTTCCAATTAAAGTGACATAATCGAAATGAGATTATTTATTAAATTTAGAGTCGCAACTTGGGATAGTTTATAGTGTCCCAAGTCACCGATTTATTTTAAATCCCAAATCGAGGAAACTGACTCTATTTATGGTCCGCGAACATAGAAGATAGGGTAAGGAATTCTTCTAACCCGGGAGAAGGTGTTAGGCGTTCCCGAGTTCCGTGGTTCTAGCATGATCTCTTTAATAATTATACTTGGCTCAATTAAATTATCTAATTACTTATTATAGAACCTATGTGCATTTTCACTTTACCGCTTTTAATTAAGAAATTAACCTGAAACAAGTCACGCGTACGTGTACTCATTTCGATTGGCGCGTCAAGAATCATGTCACGCGTACGGGTCCACAATTAATCATGCTTTATTATCATTAAGATTATTTGGCCAAAGTCATGCGAACATGTACTTTACTTTTAAGTTTAGAAAAATTATAATTATGTTACGCGAACGTACACATAATCACGATACTAAGTTAAAAGCGCGCCTAAAGTTATACTAGGTGTTCATCATTCTTCCTAAACTTTGAGACTATTGTAATGCATGCATTATAGAATTAGACTAACAATTAAATTATGAAGACTAAAAGTTAAGCTATAATCTAAATCCAACAAACTTTAGCTGAATAATACCTTTTTAATACTAAAGGTAAATGGATCCGAAAGTCTCACTAGTAATCTTAATGACATAAACACGGACAAAGGCAACAAAAACAAAGCTGCAACTTTAAGTAAGACATCATCAAATCATTCACCTACCAAAATAGTGACTAAGCTCAACATACCATTCTGCTCATCTTTAGGCCATTCACTACAACATTTTCAGATGTTATAGACTTGAGGTTCAAGACGGGTCCAACCTATAGGCAGCAGAACTAGTAAATTCTATTCCAAAATCATGCATAAATTAGATTACAAGCACATACTCCAAAAGATTGACTACATAAGCTATTGAGTCCTCAAAATGCCACATAATGCAAAAGACTTGGAATCAAATTCAAGGAATTCACAAATTAAGAGGATAATAAACATTGTATTACTTCATTTCAAACCAACAGACTATTCAAAATAATCATTTATAACAACCAACCAAAAATATGACTTGTAACTATAATAAGAATAGAGATGGACCTTATGAAGAATTTTACTTTTGAGCTTTACAGTAGGTAAATCCAAGAGCAAACAAGAAACCAGTACAGGACCTCGATGAAGCGGAATCTCGTCGGATGACACTCAAACCTCGACGGAACCACCATACGGGGCTTCGGACATGACCTCAAGCAACAAACTCAAATGCTGATATCTCCAGCAGGATCTCGAAATCAAAACAAAAGGACAGAAAGTGTCGGACTCCAATTGAGAAAAAAGAATAGCAGAAGCAGCTATTTTGAGGATCGTTTGGATTGTGTAAGGGTGTCGAAAACGGTGATCACGACGGCGAGAAACAAAACGTGATTTCGTCGGCGTTAATGGAGGTCACCAGAATTTCTCTTTTCTGGTCAGATCTAGACCTGAACAGATTTTGACCTTATTTTTACGCACAAATCCAAATGCCGATTCTACTCTACGGACTCGCTGCTGCTAGTGGCGTTGCTACTCGCTGGTGATCAATTCCGGCGAGGCACCAGTTCGAGCGTTGAGGCTAAATGGGAAGGAGCTACTATTGTCTTTCACTATTGAGAGGAAAATGAGAGAGGGATTTTTTTGAGTTTGCGGCTGATGGGATCTTAGGTTTGCTGTGTGCTGATGGCTTAGGTTAGGTTGTGAAGAAGATGAAGTTCAAGGGGATGTTTTTTTTGGGTTCTGCGGCTGGTTCATTTTTTGGGGTTCTAGGATTTTTTTCTTAATGTGGAGATGAAGGGGTCTTTAGGTTAGGGGGTATGAGCTTAGAAATTATGGGCTAGGTCCAAAATGGGCCTAAAAAATGGGTTGTTTGACCCCAAATTTTATTCTTCTCATTGTATAAGACTAAAAATACTACCCTATTTACTAATTAATCCTACTTAAGTAAAATAACTATTAAAATAAAACTAATCGTTAAAACAAACCTATTTTTGGTATTTTTCTAATATCATACTAAAAGATAAAAACGGAATTAGTTAAACTTGCAAAATTAAAATATTATTCCTACCAAACTACTAATATTCCTGAAAACAAAGTGAAACTATTTTTTTGTATTTTTGAATTTTATGAAAGGTAGATAAATTAAAAGTAACAAGATAAAATATCAATTACCTAAATAAAAGAAAATATTTTTTTGTATTTTAAATTTTTATGACAAAATAGTTTAAAAAATCAAAATTAGTTAAAGTAGCGATATTAGACCTAAACTAAATATTTAACACTAAAATGTATAAAATCTTGGGGAGGGTCAAAAATTACATGTCTACAGGAACGGTGAGATGTTAAGGGAGTTCGTGTCTAGGATTTAGATGGAAAGAATGGAATTACTGCCGGTCTCCGATGACTGGGCAGTACAGGCCTTTATGCAGGGTTTGAATGAATGGAGTTCGATCGCATCTCGACAGTTAAAGCAGAACTTGATCGGATATGCAACTGTGATATGGTCAGATGTGCACTACTATTTCCAATCAAAATTAGGGTCGAGGACGACCAGTTGGGAGCCCCTTCGGGTTCGGTTCATCCTAACAAGTTGGTAGCTACGACCCCAAGGAACACAGACAGGGAATCGAGGTCGAACAAGGAGCCGCATCAGCCTTATGTCGATCGTAGGAACAACGACTCGGGTTGAAACGCTTCTCGAAATGATCAAAGAAGCTATCAAGGTCAAAGATCTCGAGGACTCATGAGTGAGAGCGGGTTCGATAAGAATACCACCCCGCCGAGGCACCTCGATTTTCAGAGTATAATTTCAGTGTAGATGCATTGGGGATCGTGTCAGCTATTGGAAGGATCAAAGATACCAGATGGCCCAGGCCCATACAAACCAATCCTTCTCAAAGGAACCTAAACTTGATGTGCAAGTATTATGGCACACATTATCAAAGAACCGAAGATTGTAGGCAGCTAAGAGAGGAGGTAGCTCGGTTATTCAATGAGGGTCACCTTAGAGAATTCTAAGTGATCGAGCTAAGAATCATTTCAGGGAAAGAGATACAAGGAAAAAAGAGCAAGAAGAACCACAACATGTAATTCACATGATCGTTGGTAGAATCGATGTCCCCCAATGACCTGTATTCAAACGCACCAAGGAATCAATCACCAGAGAAAAACGGACTAGGAGCTATGTGCCCGAGGACGCCTTATCTTTCTATGACAAAGAAGTAGAAGGCATATCTCAACAACACAATGACGCCCCGGTAATTTCTATCCTTTTAAATAAAATTCAAGTTAAACGTGTTTTAGTGGATCCAGGTAGCTCAGCAAACATAATCAGATCGAGGGTCGTAGAACAGCTCAGCCTGCAAGATCAGATTGTACCTGCATCCCGGGTCTTAAATGGCTTCAACATGGCAAGCAAAACAACAAAAGGAGAGATTATCCTGCCAATAAATGTAGTCGGGACCATACAAAATACAAAGTTCCATGTCATCGAAGGTGACATGAGGTATAACGTACTTCTCGAGAGACCGTGAGGTCAGTACCTTAAACTCTTCATTAGATGATGAAGTTCCCTACAGAGGATGGAGTAAAAATGATCTACGGAGAACAACATGCTGCAAAGGAGATGTTTGCAGTCGAGGAAGTGACTCCGGCACCAATGCCTTCGACCTTGGAAAAATCGGGGACTAAAGATAAGCCAGTGGACAAATAGCAATCACCGATCCAGTCCCAATCGAGCCAGAGGAACAGGTAATCGAGGAAGAAGAAGAGGATTTCCTTACTCCTCGAACTTTCATCGTTCCAGAAGAGTCTGATGCAACCAAGTCAACGATCGAGGAACTGGAGCAGATCATACTGATCGAATACATGCCCGAAAGAAAGGTATACCTGGGGACGGGATTAAACCCCTAACTCATTAAAAAAGCCATTCAATTTCTTATTGATAATATGGATTGCTTTGCTTGGTCCCATTTAGATATGACAGGAATTTCACCAGAAATAACAACACACAGGCTAACCACCGATCCTAGGTTCAAATCGGTAAAGCAAAAGAGAAGGCCCCAGTCCGAAGTGAAGCATGCATTCATAAAGGACGAGGTAACCAAACTTCTAAAAATAGGGTCTATTCGGGAGGTAAAATACCTCGAATGGTTAGCCAACGTAGTTGTAGTTCCTAAAAAAGGAAACAAGCTTAGAATTGCGTAGATTACAAGGATTTGAACAAAGCATGCCCAAAAGACTCTTTTCCATTGCCCAACATCGATCGTATGATCGATGCCACGACCGAACACGAGATCCTTACTTCTCTCGATGCCTATTCCGTGTACAATCAAATTCAGATGAACCCGGAGGATCAGGAAAAGACCTCGTTTATCACTATGTTTGGAACATATTGTTACAATGCAATGCCCTTCGGGCTAAAAAATACTGGAGGCACATACCAACGTCTAGTTAACAAGATGTTCGAAGAACAGATAGGTAAAATGATGGAAGTTTACATTGACGATATGTTAGTTAAGTCCCTGTTCCTAGAGGACCATTTGACTTATTTGCAGGAAACATTGAAAATCTTGAGGAAGTACAACATGAAGCTTAACCCTGAAAAATGTGCTTTTGGAGTTAGCTCGGGTAAGTTTCTCGACTTCATGGTATCTAATCGAGGAGTCGAGATCAACCCCGATAAGATCAAGGCCATCGAAGATGTCACCATCGTGGACAGTGTGAAAGCTGTGCAAAGGCTAACATGATGAATAGTCACCTTGGGTTGATTTATTTCGAGGTCATCGAATCGACGTCATAGGTTCTTTTCCTTGCTCAAAAAGAAAAAGGACTTTGCATACCCCAGAATGCCAACAAGCCTTAGAGGAATTGAAGCGATACCTATTGAGACCACCTTTGCTTCATACCCCGAAGGTTGATGAAAAACTTTACCTATATTTGGCAGTGTCCGAGATAGAGGTAAGTGAAGTAATACTTCGAGAAGAACAAGGTGTGCAGTTCCCTATATATTATGTAAGTCAAACTCTGGGAGATGTTGAAACTAGATACCCTCACTTAGAAAAATTAGCACTTGCATTAATCAGATCATCTAGAAAGTTAAAGCATATTTTCAATGTCATCCAATATGTGTATTAACCACTTATCCTCTCCGAAATATCTTGCATAAGCCCGAATTGCCGGGCGACTGGCCAAGTAGGCAGTCGAACTAAGAGGGTACGATATTGAATATCAACCACAAACAGCAATCAAGTCCCAAATCTTGGCTAACTTCATGGCCGATTTTACGCTGACCCTCGTACCCGAGTAGAAAAGGAACTTTTGCTGGGATCGGGCACATCATTAGGGGTATGGACCCTTTTCATGAATGGTGCCTCGAATGTGAAAGGGTCCAGACTCGGCATCGTTTTGAAGCCACCAACAGGTAGTACTATTAGACAATATATCAAAAATTCAAGATTGACTAACAATGAGGCCGAGTACGAGGCCATGATTGTAGGTCTCGAGCTAGCTATGAGCTTGGGAGCAGAGGTCATCGAGGCCAAATGTGACTCCCTATTGGTGGTGAACCAAGTAAATAAGAGTTTCGAGGTTCGAGAAGATAGAATGCAGAGGTACTTAGACAAATAACAGTTGACATTGCACTGCTTCAAAGACGGACCCTAGATCATGTGCCTCGAGAGCAAAATAGTGAGGCCGATGTGCTTGCAAATCTGGGATCATCAGTCGGAGAAGACGACATTGTCCCGGGGACTGTCGTTCAGCTATCGAGATCCTTGGTCGAGGAAGGTCATGCCGAAATAAATTCCACGAGCTTGACTTAGGATTGGAGAAATAAGTATATCGATTATTTGAAAAATGGAAAGCTCCCATCAGATCACAAAGAGTCGAGGGCTCTTCGAACCAAGGCTACTAAGTTCACACTAGATTGGGATGGAACATTATACAGAAGAACGTTTGATGGGCCATTGGCAGTATGTTTAGGGCCGGAGGATACCGATTATGTTCTACGAGAAATCCACGAAGGTACTTGTGGGAACCACTCTGGCGCCGAGTCTTTGATTCACAAAATTATCAGAGCAGGGTATTACTAGGATAACATGGAAAAAGATTCTAAGGAGTTTGTCAAAAAATGTGATAAGTGCCAACGGTTTGCACCGATGATCCATCAGCTCGGAGAACAGCTCCACTCGGTCCTATCCCCGTGGACTTTCATGAAATAGGGGATGGACATAGTCAGCCCTCTATCAACGACCCCAGATAAAGCTAAATTTATTTTATTTATGACTGATTACTTTTCTAAATGGGTGGAAGCACAGGCCTTTCAAGAAGGTTAGAGAAAAGGAAGTTTTTGACTTTATCTAGGACCACATCATATGTCGGTTCGGGATACCTGTCGAGAATGTATGTGACAATGGAAAACAATTCATCGGCAGCAAGGTGACGAAGTTCCTCGAAGCACACAAGATAAAGAGGATCTTATCAACATCATACCACCCAACTAGAAATGGACAAGCCGAATCAACAAACAAACCATCATTCAAAACATAAAGAAAAGGCTGGACGATGCAAAGGGAAAATGGAGAGAAGTTCTACCCGAGGTCCTTTGGGCATATCGAACAATATCGAAGTCTAGCACAGGGGCTACTCCGTTTTTTTTAGTTTATGGCTCCGAGGCCCTTATCCATGTCAAGGTCGGAGAACCCAGCGCCAAGTTTCGACATGATCGGAGGAATCAAATTACGAGGCTATGAACACTAGCCTCGAGCTATTAGATGAAAAATGAGAGGCAACACTTGTTT